TAAGAAAAGCTTCCTAAAAGGTTTGGCTTTGGGCTGGGCACGGTGGCTCATGCCTGTAATCCCAGCACTTTGGGAGGCCGATGCAGGTGGATCACCTGAGGTCAGGAGTTCAAGACTAGCCTGACCAATATGGCGAAACCCCGTCTCTACTAAAAACACAAAAATTAGCTGGGCATGGTGGCACATGCCCGTAATCCCAGCTAATCAGGAGGCTGAGGAAGGAGGATCACTTGAACGTGGGAGGTGGAGGTTGCAGTGAACCAAGATCATGCCACTGCACTCCAGCCTGGGTGACAAGAGCAAAACTCCATCTCAAAAAAAAAAAAAAAAGAGAAAAAGAAAAAAAAAAGTTTGGCTTTATACAATTATTTGAAAAAACAGAATGAAATAGCCAACAAAAATAGTAAAACATATATGTGGGGACCAAAATCAGAACCTGCTAAGAATGAGTGATTAGTGCTATAGCCACAGTCTTTGGTGGTGAAGATAATAAACAGCAAGGATCAGGGCAGTGACAAAGCACAAAATCTGGAAGTATCAATATTAAGTTTCGTAGACAGCATCTCTTTCAGTAAAGAGATACGCTGAAGGGTTAGACACAAGTGAAATTTCATGAATGATGCCATCAAAAAGTTATGAAAAATAAGAGAAAAAGAAGCTAAAGGCATAGATAACCAACACAAAAGGATACAGGAAACACAATAAACATTAAGACTCCAACAAAAAAGGACCACAAACATGTCAGAATAACTGGAAGAAAAATATGGAAGTAGAATGTACTTAAAAGGCTAAAGGGAACAGATCAGAAAAGCACTTTTGTTCAAAACACATTCTGTACACTTGTCTAATTTGAAATTGACATATTCAGTAAAATGTCTGTGAAAGTACATATCAAAGATACTAGATATGAATCAAAGAGAAGTGAGGGAATTTTTTTTTAACCACATCATCTAATCTTCCTGACCTTTCAGCTTAGTTTATCTTTTAATGCTGCTCTCTGACACCTCTCACATACTGGTCTTCTGTTATTTAACTCTTTGCAGAGGTTATTAAACTTACCATGTAATAGTCTTACAGCAACCATACTGTAAACTTTTCCAAGGTAAGAAACATGTAGGATGATATGGTTTGGCTCTGTGTCCCCATCCAAGTCTCATCTTGTAGCTCCCATAATTCCCATGTGTTGTTGCAGGGATCCAGTGGGAGATAAGGGAACCATGGGGTGGGTCTTTCCTGTGCTGTTCTCATGATAGTGAATAATTCTTACAAGATCTGACAATTTTAAAAACGGGAGTTTCCCTGCACAAGCTCTCTCTTTGTCTGCTGCCATCCACATGGACGTGACTTGCTCCTCCTTGCCTTCCACCAAGATTGTGAGGCTTCCCCAACCATGTGGAACTAAGTCCAATTAAGCCTTTCTTTTGTAAATTGCCCAGCCTTTATCAGCAGTGTGAAAAAAGGCTAATACATAAGATTTCTTTTATTTTTATTTCCCAGAAAACCCAACACAGAATCTTACACTAATTTACTTAATAAACATTGAGGGCCTATGCTTAAGAGGTGGCTGACATGCCACAAATTATATACAAAGACAATGGCGTTCTGGTATAGGAAATGATAAAGAATCATCATTAAATGATAAAGAAACGAAGGCTAGTACCAAAGCCTTCATTTATGAGCCAGCAAAGGCAAATTCAAAAGGGAAAAAAAAAAAAAAATCTCTGGACATGAAAATTAACATCAAAGAACACAGAGATGTTTTCACAACCAGGAAATTTTAAAAGCCAATATTCATAATCATTGAGGAACATAAACTTGGAAGGGGAATTTTTTTTTTTTCTGAGACAGGGTCTCGCTCTGTTACCCAGGCTTGGCAGTGGTGCAATCTCAGCTCACAGCAGCCTCTGCCTCCCAGGTTCAAGTGATTCTCGTGCCTCAGCCTCCTGAGTAGCTACAATTACAGGCACATACCACCATGCCCAGCTAATTTTGGTATTTTTAGTAGAGACAGGGTTTCACCATGTTGTCCAAGTTGGTCTCGAACTCCTGGCCTCAACTGATTCGCCCGCCTCAGTCTCCCAAAGTGCTGGGATCACAGGCCTGAGCCACCGTGCCAGGCCCAACGGTGATTTATAACAATCTTGGGATCTAATTTATAGTAAAAATTTTAGAACAAGGGAGGAGACATTACAAGATTAACAAAAGTGAGAAATCACAATTGACAGCAGAGGAGATAAAAATTAGGCAAACACAACTGAAAAAAAACAGTTCAATTACTGCAAGCAGTGACTCATGTATCTCAATATTCCCACAGTATGCTATAATAAACAGCATAAAAACTAATAACCAACAAATAATATTGGTGACTGATTCACCAAAAAAGTTAGCTTATGTTCAGTATACTTTAAAAGGATGGTCTACTGTGGCAGTCATTTTAATAGTTAACTATCTTTTTGTGGCAAAAAGGATATTTCAGTTGTTTGAAAATTTCATTTATACAGAACATTTTATTTTCTAGTAACGTAAAGTTGATATTACTAAATAAATAATAAAGCCACAAGTCAAAAATAGCCTGCAAGTGGCTTGATCACCTAACAAGGAATAAAGGGGCTTTAAAAAACAATATGAAACTGTATCTAAAATATACAAAGAACTCTTAAAATTCAACAATAAGAAATCAACCCAGTATTAAAATAGGCAAAAAACTATTTTTCTTTTTTTTTTTTTAAATTAGCCAGGCATGGTGGTGCGTGCCTATAGTCTCAGCTACTCAGGAGACTGAAATGGGAAGATCACTTGAGCCCATGAGTTCAGGGTTGCAATAAGCTATGATCACGCCCATGCAACAGTGTGAGATCTTATCTCAAAAATACAATAAAATAAATAAAAATAGGCAAAAGCTGAACAGATACCTCACCAAAGATGAGAGATAGATGGCGAATAAACATATGAAAAGATGCTCAACATCATGTGTCACTAGGAAACTGCAAATTAAAACAACAATGAAATACTACTACACTTATTAGAATGGCTAAAACCCAAAACTCTGACAAAAAATGCTGGCCAGAATGCGAAGCAATAGGAACCCTCACTCACTGCTGGTAGAAATACAAAATGGTACAGTCACTTTGGAAGAGACTTGGCAGTTTCTTACAAAAATCAACATACTCTTACCACACAATTCAGAAGATACGCTCCTTGGTATTTACCCAAGTGAGCTGAAAACTTAATGCCTACATAAGAACCTGCACATGAATGTTTATAACAGTTTTATTCATAATTGTCAAAAACTGAAGCAATTAAGATGTCCTTAGAAGGCAAATGAATAAACTGGTACAGACAATGCAGTATCACTCCATGATAAAAAGAAATGGGCTACCATGACATGAAAAGACATGGAGGAACCTTAATTTCATATTGCTAAGTGAAAGAAGCCAATTTGAAAAGGCAGCATTCTATATGATTCCACTATGTGATATTGCAGAAAAGACAAAATTAAAGAGACAGTAAGAAAGATCAGTGGCTGCTAAGGGTTCAGGGACAGGGAAGGAAGGATGAATAGGTGGAACACAGGGGATTTTGGGGATAGTAAAACTACTCTGTATGATACTGTAATGGTGGGTACATACCATTATTGTACATGTGTAAATGTACATTATGTACAAAATGTACAGAAGAATGAATGAACCCTACTGTAAAGTGTGGACTTTAATGTATCAATATTGGCTCAGTTTTAATAAGTATACCACACTAATGCAAGATGTTAACAATAAGGGGAACTATGTGTGGGTAGTGGGAGGGATAAAAGGGTATACGGGAACTGTCTGTACTTTTCCTTCATTTTTTCCGTAAATCTAAAACTGCTATTAAAAATAAAGTCCATATATACAAAAAGAACCACATGAAGAGAAAAAATTTGGTAACTTCAAAAGGTCTACATAAAATGAATTTTAAAATTCACAAACATTTAGGCAAAAATCATAAAATTAAAGCAAAAATGAAATGAAAATTAAGAACCCATGCCAGCTGTCATATCAGCCCATGATGACCAACTGAGAGCTAACTGTAAAACAGATCTGACAGTTGTTCTCAGAGATTTGGATTAGACAAAACCAAAAGGATAATGCAAAACAAAATTTACAGATGTTTATTTACAGAAGTTCAACACAGTATCATGCTGCACATTAAAGCAAGTCTACACAAAATGTTCCTAATTCACATGAGAATCCACGGTTAGTGAACACAAAAAAGGCACTTATTCACTACTTAGTCACTATTTTTAAAAAATTATTGGCCCAAACCGTAGTACCTCTTAACAGCATGCTAGAAAACTGAACTTCTTATTGATAGTTCCCTAAATCTAGGTATTTTGTTTGACCTATAAGGCTATTTTAAAAATGGTAATGTGAAGCCTTTTATAAACAGGGTAAGGACTCCTAAGCTCACCACAGGCTCCATTTACACACGGATATTATCTGAATGATCTCTGTAGACATTTCAATGTGACTCCTGAAGTACACTATCCTTGAAAATAGCATGCTCTTAAGACTGAAAAATCTTTAAATAAAGGCAAGAGCCTGGGAATTCCATGGTAAGTCTTTAAGAGTTGTACTATAGAGCTTCAAATGCAGTCTTCTAACCTGGGCCATGGGTGCTGTCAACCACCCAACTGTCAGCCACACAGACAAAGAGCATGCAAAGACTATATAACAGGTCTCCGACAGGGAGAGACTATTCAATCAATCATTCATTCAACAAACATTTACTCAGGACTTCCTATGTGTTAAGCATGATTTCAAGGGCTGACAAAACAACCTAGAACAAAATATTAAAATACTTCTGCTCTTACAGTGATTACATTCATCTACATGGTTACCATACCACTAGGCCCAACATTGTACTGATCTTTGGATATACAGCAAGGGTAAGCTAATGATCAGGTTTATTTTATAAAATTAATTTATGTAAGTTTCAAGATTGCTATAGTTATCAGTTCTTACCTGGTCCTGTGTTGATAATAACGTAAACAGAGTTTCCAATGCTGCTCTTCGAACTGATGATATAGTGTGATGCAAAAAAGGCCAGACACGTGGAACTAAAACTGTGAGTGACTGTTGAATACTAATAAAGAAGACACAAATTAATCTTACTTATTCTAAGTTGAAACTCTGTAGATACATTATCTAAATATTCTCATGGGATCTAGTGATGCTGACATCATATGACTTTTTTGATGAATAAATTCTTAAAAGATAATACCGTTTTCATATGAACATTCTTGTAACAATGTCATTCACAACTGTTATTGCAGCACCAGAAGAGCCAGAGCAAATGCAGTCAAAAAGAAGGGTGGAAATACTAACATCAGGTTCTTCTATGGCACTAATGCCATGAGTCACCTTTATCAAGTTAGGACTTTCCAATATAATTGTTCTTAGGAAAATAGGACATGTATCCTAGCTGGCAGTCAGCCTACATGATCAGGACTGCTAATCCTAACTTCTTTCCCAAGGCTAACCCCAATGGGTAGATACCCAAAATTTCCATCTCCCTTTGGTGCCATCTCTGTCACATATCAAATGAGCAAGTGGTGGTAGGGCAGCAACTTTGAAATTTATTATCCTGGTGTAGCATCACTAAGTTAGGAAAACTCAAATTTCTTCCTTCTCATAGATTTAAGTTTTAAATGGGGAAGCAAACAAAGCCGAGTCTAGACTAACTTGGGCCATAGGATTCCTGTCACATTCATGAGTCATTTGTAAAAATTACCTGGAACTAGGAAATAATTCATAAGCAGCATTTGAAATATATGGCTCCACAGAAAAAGACATGAACAAAAAATAATATGCCACTGTAACTATTTGGTCTTTTGTGGTTCCTCCCAGGAGGCCTATCTTTTAACACTATTTTCATTACTTGCAGGTTTGTATGAACACTACTTCTTGTATTTTATTTTCATATTTGGCAAATTTATTTATAAAATTCTAACTTAAACACAAGTATACATAGACATAAAAAAGACACAAAATACATAAAAGCATTATAACAGAGTCTTGTTAAGTGTCTAACTGCTCATGCTCCAAATAACATGCTACATTTCTTCTTACATAAGCTAGAAGAAAGTATCTGCCAAGTATCACAATATATGAAGCAAATTTGAAACAAAAAAGATGGAAAACCACATTATTTCACAATGAATTAATAGAATTTTCACTATATTCTTTCTTATATTACCCAGTTTTTCTGACACCATCCACTAAGGCCCAGAGACCAAATCCATTCCACCCATTTTTTTTTAAGTAAAAGTTTTCTGTGTATACAAGCACGTTCATTCTCTTATTTATTACCTATGTACAGCTGTCTTCACACTACAGTGACAGCTTAGTAGTTTTGACAGACTGTCTGGCTCACAAAACAAAAATACCCACTATTTGGGCCTTCGCAGAAAAAGATTACTAATCCTTGATTTACAGTAATCAAAAACCCCTTCATCTTGCATCTTAAAGAGGGCTTTCACATACATTAACTCATTTAGTTTGTACGGCTTTCATTAGCAACAGAAACATCGAAAATCAGGAAACCCCATAAATGTACTACCACTTCAATTTTTCTCTTCTTTTGCTTTTATAGGCACTTATTTTGCTCTTTCTACTTAAGTGCTGTCCAACTAATCTAAACTTAGCATTAAAGTACTTCCACTAGGTCAGTATTATTTGAAATATTTTCCACACGTGTTTTTATACATCTATGGGTTTCATGGGAAATACTCAGAGCCAGAAACCATGTATAAGCATAATTATATGAACGTTCACTGAACGCCCTCACTAGGACAAGAACAGTAATTTTCTCATCTGTGAATTTTTTTAAGTTGCATAATAATTTTTTCTTCTCTATCTCTAAGGACACTTATCTCTAATAATATTCAAGGGCCAGTCTACAAGGTACGGAATATGTTAATTAGCTGAGCTGAGATTCATGTATCAGGACAGGAAAATTGGTGACGCTAAATTTTTGATGTATGTTTTTGGCTTCACTTGATCTCTGCCTTTGGACATTATATTACATTATTATGTATTCCCTTCCTGATAAGTAATTACTGAAATCAAGAACAAGAGTTTAAGAAATGAACATTACAAAAAAAAAGTTCACAGAGGGGCAAGTTTTAGAAAATATAAAGCTGATGTTTGATGATAATTGTTAACTATTACTAAATAAAGCTAAAATTCTACATTCTAGGGCTAGAACTGGAAATACTGTTCAATGATTATATTTCTAAATAAACGATTATAAGATGAACAAGATGATGAATTATATAACTGAAATATTTCAAGGGTAAAAAAAATGATCTTTGTAAGCTGCTGCCCACATGGCTGACGAGTAAAAAAGACAAGGCCTTCTGAAAACAGTAGTCTTTGGCATCTCCAGCTTAAACAGTTCTATTCTTAAAGGTGCTAAAATACTGTATGTTTAGGCTAAATTATCTCGAAAGGTATATAAAGACTTTTTACTTTATTCCGCTAATTAGAAATAATTACCTGCATTGTTGGACCTGAGGATAAGTTAACAAGGATGAAAGGAGAGTCATAATACTATTTGTTGAAGCTGTTAGATCATCTAATTCCAGAAGAGCATCCCATAATGTATTTATAATGAAGGGTACCTATAAGATCAGTTTTCAAGAAAAGTTATCAATTTTGTACAAAATACTCACAAACCCTGCCAAATTGTATCCCAGGGGTCATTACTGATTCAACAACACATGCAATTCCAACGACCTTGGACAGTGTCAGTTTTGAGCGAAGTTAAGGAGGTGACACTTTTTGCCTTTAACAATTTTCTATACCTTCTTTTTAATGTCATTCAACTCTACTTTGATACTTCCCTTCCTGACCAGACTCATAACGGGTAGAATTCAGAAAATAAAAGAGCCAAAACTATTTTATGTAAAAAACTAAACTCTGAAAACAACAGAGCATGGAGACACGAGACATGTTCCTCTATTTAATTTTACTGCATTTAAAGTGGTACCAATCATCATTAAAAAAAATTTTTTTAGTTTTTAAGCTCTTAAAATACTGCTTACTGTACTTCTAACTTTGTGTTCTGATTTTGATAATCAGGTAGAAAGTCAGCCAGATCTTTAAAAAAGTCATTTCAAAAAATGAGACTAGAGGGGTGGGTGTGATGGGTCACGCCTGTAATCCCAGCACTCTGGAAGGCCAAGACTGGGAAGATCTCTTGAGTTTAGGAGTTTGAGACCAGCCTGGGCAACAGAGGGGGACTCCTCCATCACTACAAAAAACAATTTTAAAAAACTCAGCCAGGCACAGTGGCATGTGTCTGTAGTCCCAGGTACTTGGGAGGCTGAGGCAAGAAGGACTGCTTGAGCCCAGGAGAGTAAGGCTACATGTCATCCACTGCACTCCAGCCTGGGTGACAGAGTGAGATCCAAGAAAGAAAAGAAAATGTTATGTGTATATACAGAGTACACAGCACTTGTTAATAATACTAATTAATAATTAGTAATTAATAAGGAGAGGAGCGGAGAGACGGGGAGGAGAGGAGAGACAGGGAGGGGAGGGGAGACTAAATTAAAAAAAAAAAAAATCCAAAAACTAAAATCAAAACAAACAGGCCGGGCATGGTGGCTCATGCCTGTAATCCCAGCACTTTGGGAGGCCGAGGTGGGTGGATCACTTAAGGCCAGGAGTTCGAGACCAGCCTTGCCAACATGGTGAAATCCCATTTCCAATAAAAATACAAAAATTAGCTGGGTGTTGTGGCACGTGCTTGTAGTCCCAGCTACTTGGGAAGCTGAGGCAGGAGAATTGCTTGAACCTGGGAGGTGGAGGTTGCAGCAAGCCAAGATCACACCACTGCACTGCAGCCTGGGCAACAAGAGTGAAACTCTGTCTCAAAAAAAAAAAAAAATCAAAACAAACAAAAATCCAATATATCTAAAAACCAGGAGTAAAATAAGGAAGACATGGCTGCATTCTTCTCAAGGAAGTTCCCTATATATTATGTACATGAAGGGAAAGTAGACAAATGGATCCAATTAACTCTTCCAAAGTATAATATATAATCAAGACTGCATGCATCACAGGGCTGCTGGTCAAAAAAAAATTGAAGATGAAGGAGAAAAATGTACTCAATGTATTTTCTAATACTCCATATCCCAAATGAAAACAAGCTCTATAGGAAGAAATTGTAAAAATATTTAATTTACCTTTTGTGTCTGAAGATAGACAAGGCTTTCTACTACAGGTACTAATGATGCTGCAGCAACAGCTCTGACATCATCATCAAGATCCTGGAGTCCTTCAATTATTCTAGTTAAAACTTTAGGCAATAAAGTGTTAATTACATCCTGTAAAACAGTACATGAAAACATTTTAAAATTTCAATTTGCCACATGACAGCTAAATTCCAGTATTTACAGTCATGTACTGCTTAACAATGGATACATTCTGAGAAATACATCAGGCAATTATGTCATTCTGTGAACATTATAGAGTGTACTTACACAAACCTAGACAGTATAGCCTATACCACACCTAGCTATGTGATACAACCTATTGCCTCTAGGCTACAAACCTGCACAGCATGTTACTGAACTGAATACTGTAGGCAGCTACTAATAAAATAATAAGTATTGGTATATCGAAATACAGAAAAGGTACAATAAAAGTACAGTATTATAATCTTACGGGACCACCATCATATATGTGGCCCATCACTGACTGAAATATCATTATGACTGTATCTACTAAAAAACAATCACATAAACAAAAATATAACATCAATAGAAGCCTAAGTAATCCCATTTGAAACAGACTACAAGGGCATCAAGCGCTTCATCCAATGAGACGTAAAACATCAAAACAGGTTTTACAGGTAAGACTATGAATTCTCTGTGTGAACAGACACACACACAAACCCCTCTGCTAGAATCCTAGCCTCCGTATCTCATTCAATGCCACCAACAACCAAAAGGAGAATGAGAGAAGAGTGGAAGAAAAGCCATACATTCCCACTTCTCATTATTCCAATTTAATGTCTTTTCATTTCCCCCAACAGAGCCAGCCCCCAGACGTTACTCCTGTGATCATATACTAGGAATCTCCCTGAGAACTGGTCTCACTATGAAATAGGGATAACATTTCAAAAACCTATAAGGTGTTTTCCATTTCCATATAAGTCTGCTGTTATCTACAGAGGCTAGAGTGCAGAACACAGAAAAAAAAGGTTTTCTTTATGGGGGGCAAGAGGGTGGCTGCCAAGGGGAGAAGAGAACTAAAAGGGCCAGGAAGAGGAAGGAAGGGAGCAGAGGGAGAAAGAGTTGGACAGAAAGCTCAGGTCTCTCAGCAGAATCACGAATGCTTTGTTATTGGCAGTTAAAGGGAAAAAAAGAGACGATCTTAGAAAACTTCAAAAGGCCTTTGAGCTTGCCTTTTGAGACAGAAAGCGAGGTTCCAATCTGTTATACAGTGAGCATGGGAAGAGGAGAAAAGCTGGCACGAAGCATTAAGTAGCCATAATGGATACTGAAATGCCTATATAGGCCAATGCCTAACACCCTGACAATGCTGATACCAACTGGAAAGTATTCAGGGAAATTAAACTGGTAAGAAATGGTCCTGCTGGGCGCGGTGGCTCACGCCTGTAATCCCAGCACTTTGGGAGGCCGAGGCGGGCGAATCACAAGGTCAGGAGATCGAGACCATGGTGAAACCCTGTCTCTACTAAAAAAATAGAAAAAATTAGCCGGGCGCAGTGGCAGGCGCCTGTAGTCCCAGCTACTCGGGAGGCTGAGGCAGGAGAATGGCGTGAACCCGGGAGGCGGAGCTTGCAGTGAGCCGAGATTGCGCCACTGCACTCCAGCCTGGGCGACAGAGCGAGACTCCGTCTCAAAAAAAAAAAAAAAAAAAAAAAAGAAATGGTCCTGGTCTCTCTCTAACTCCTCATTCATAATCTCTCCTTTACTTCCACGTCTCTTTTTAGTCAACACTCACTCTTTGCTGACCTGTTATGTTCAGAGTCAAGACAACCATTTGTGGAAGTCCCTAATTCTGTCACTAGATCTATGGTGGGGAAGTAGGGAGAAGGAGAAAAGAGATGCTTTACCGGCATCTCACACTGGTAATCAGAATCAATTTTTCCACAAAAATGTTATGTGTATATATAGATTACACAGCACTTATTAGTTTAGTAAAAGACTTTAGATATATTTATATATGAAATAGGCTTTTGTGGACCAATCTAATAACCAAATTCCTAGCCAGAATATATCTGTTTTTAATAAGCTACTAAGGGTACATAAATGTTCCTAAGTAGGGGACTATGTGCACATGCAGGTATTGTCATCCTAGATGATGTATAACATTACAATAAACACTGTTCTATAAGACATGCCATTTAGTTACTAGTTCTAGTACTAACCTTAACTAGTTTTGTGACAACCAGCAAGGCATCTAATTTTTCAGAACTTTATTTCCCTACGTGAAAATAGTAAGACTACATGCATTTTCTTCTTGTAAGTTTTGTCATAAAGGATAAAAAAAACCACACACACACACACACACACTGACAGTTTATGTAAAAAGTACATGATCATACAGATTGTCTTCTTTACACTTTGATGTCTACTCCTGTATGTATACTGCATAACTTGGCATCATGTTGTATAGCCCTCAGAGCGTGTATTTAATATTCAAATGAGTTAAAACAGTAAAACCAAATCATGAAGAGCACTGAATTAAGTGTAGCAATGGATTAAAAAGGAAAAATAATCTTTGACCTTAAAGAGCAACAAAGTAACTAACCATCTTTTGATTTATACTTAAATTTTTATGAGCGCCACCTATCTCTATAACACTGTCTCAAGAAGGCAAATCTTGGAAGACTGGCTTCTCTGTAACAGTAAGAATCTGAGGCCATTTCTTCTAATTAGTGAAAATAAACTATGAGAGGAAAAATCTCTCCCACATATGCTTCAAAACTTGAAATATTTACCTGACGGACTGCCAAAGCATATTTTATTCCCAGTAGACCACCGTGTCTAACTTCCCATTGTTCTTGTGTAAGTAATTTTAGCAGCACATCCACAGTCTTATGAACTCCTGTTTCATTCATGTGTTTTAAAACCACACCTAATGTTTGAGCACAAGTTTCACGAACTGGTGCCACAACCTACAGACGAAAAAGGAAGAAAACTCATATTTGCAAAAAACATATTTTGTAGAATTTGAAATTTGATTGGGCAAAGCCTCCCTTAAATGATACTTACTTCATCAGAAACAAAGTCTCCAAATCTGTCTAATGCAAAAACACAAAGGAGTCTAATAACCAAGTCTTCCAACCATTCTTGATGCTGCTGAATCATCTGTTAAAACATAATGTATACATATATATATACACACACACACACTTTTTTTTAACATAATATTTTTTTAAAACAAAGATCACACATTGTACTGAGGACTTGGGGGACACCTTAGGTCCAAAATAAAAAAAAAAAATACGGGAACAGATTATTTTAGCTGTAGGAACAATAACCAAAAAGTAGAATAGTTCCAATTAATGTCTTTAATATTAAACATATCCCATATCCCCTTTGATCATTAACTGAATTTAGAAATACTATATCAAAATTCTTAAAATTCATGGATTATATTATGTTACTTACACTCCAAGAGAAATTAAGAAACTAATTACTTCAGGTTGTTCTCATATCAAGTACACCGGTCACATATCTATTATTTATACTATTACCAGTGTCTCCAGGCAATACCAATTATGTTGCTCACTGACCTCTCAACTAGCCTCTTATTCATCTTACTCTACTTTTCAATCCATTGTATGATATTTACCTTTTCATATCTCTTCCTCTTATTTACCTCTCATTCCTACTTCATGGCACATACTCGTTACTTCCCTACATTGGAAAAAGATGCCAACTATTAATACTTGGTGATAATTGTTGCATTAATACACTTACCTCTTCTAAAGTGCTGTCACCCATTTTACCACCACTTTTCCCATGAGCTTTAAGAATTTCCCTAAGTCCAGTGCCTGCACCATGTCGAACCTGAGAAGAATCAAGAAGCAAATGTCAGAGGTTAAATGTTTAAGACACGAAGTTTGATTTTTCTTCTACACGAAATAAGGATACTGGATTCTTAAGAAATTAGAATAAACCAACTGGAACTTTACAAGAATGTATTTTTCTTCACTATCTAAGAAGAATTACACATATAAATTTCAGACTGCTTTTGGTTATATGGAAGTTTTTAAAAAATCAAGCAAGAAAACAGCTATTCTAAAATCCTCTTGAGATATAAATTCACATTGTTTCCACTCCCTTATCCTCTACCTTCATTCAGCACTATCCAGAGCAAGAGAGAGGAAAGAATCATTTTTTTTTTTTTTTTTTTTTTGAGGTGGAGTCTCACTCTGTTGCCCAGGCTTGAGGGCAGTGATGCGATCTTGGCTCACTGCAACCTCCGTCTCCCGGATTCAAGCGATTCTCCTGCCTCAAGCCGCCCAAGTAGCTGAGATTACAGGCACCCGCCACCACGCCTGGCTAGTTTTTGTATTTTTAGTAGAGACGGGGTTTCTCCATGTTGGCCAGGCTGATCTCAAACTCCTGACCTCAAGCGATCTTCCGCCTCAGCCTCCCAAAGTATTAGGATTACAGGCGTGAGCCACCGCGCCCAGTCCAAGGTGTTCTTTATAATCCCAACACATGTATTTTCAAAATATGTGCATCAAAACTAAGCTCCAGGCTGGGCGTGGTGGCTCACACCTGTAATCTCAGCACTTTGGGAGGCCCAGGCGGGCAGATCACTTGAGCTCAGGAGTTCAAGCAAGACCAGCTTGGCCAACACAATGAAACCCCATCTCTAATAAAAATATTTTAAAAATTAGCCGGGTGTGGTGGTGCGCACCTGTAGTCCCAGCTATTCAGGAAGCTAAGCCAGGAGAATCACCTGAACATGGGTAGCGGAGGTTGCAGTGAGTCAAGATCATGCCACTGCACTCCAGCCTGGGAGACAGAGTGAGACTCCATTGCCAAAAAACCAAAAAGCAAAAAACCTAAGCTTCAAAGCTACCAGTGATAAGTGAGTGCCAAAAGAAGACGATACAAATAAAATGTCTTATGATTAATGCATCACATCCTGGGGATGAACCACCTTTCTTTGAGAAGGTGAGGCTACTTTCTGCAGTGTCATCTGGAAAGGAAAAGGACAAGCTACTGACAGACACTGTACCCACTTCTTAAGACCCCATGAGTTATGACTTGAGTAACTTTAAACAGAATTACACCAAGGAAACACAACTAAAAGGTATTCTAAAGAAATGTTTTTTAAATTACACAGAGGTCAACAGAGGGGAAAAACAATAGTTTGAAACTACCAATCCTCAACTTCAAGCAGAGGAACTTCACTCTTTCTTCTCTTCTACACATTGGGAACTGTTCAAGATGTTCTCTAAAGATTTCTGAGGCTAAAAAGCTGGCTTGGAAACTACTGCTCTTGATCAATCAAAATTGTCCACTTCCAAAGGAAAGGAAGTATTTTTTTACTGCCTCGGAGAGATATTCAAGCCTTTGGATTATAATGGAAAGAACGAAAAGAAATAATTCACTAAAGAATATGACTGAAGGATATGAAAGGTGAAAATCAATCTACAGTTTTCTATTTAGGTTAATGGTATGACATGCCCTGAGTCCTGAGATGAACAGAGAACAGGAACTCTGACAAAGTATATTGCTCCTGACATTATTCCCTTCATTAGCACAGAAAATAGAGCTGAGAGAAACTGTAATGAAGAAATCTTACCTCCCAGGAGGGATTAAAAAGGTCATTGCAAAGTTCTTCACAAAAGCTTTCCAAAGGCCATTCATTTGTCTGAATAAGAAAAACAGAATTACTACTAGTTCAAAAGGTCTATTTTATGCTAACAATTTAAGTAACTCAATAAATTTTATTTGTAGGTCTAGTAGTAACAATCAAACTTTTAAAAATTTAATTTTTTAACTAATTAAGATGTATTTTTACCAATAAAAATTCTCTCAATAGACAGATTATTCAATACTTTCTACGGATATATTAGTTTGAAAAAGATTATAAGCAATCTTTCTTTGTTTTTTTTGAGACAGAGTTTCGCCCTATCGGCCAGGCTGGAGTACAATGGTGCAGTCTCGACTCACTGCAACCTCTGCCTCCCGGGTTCAAGCGATTCTCAGCCTCCCAAGTAGCTGGGATTACAGGCGTGCGCCACCACATCTGGCTAATTTTTTGTATCTTTAGTAGAGATGAGGTTTCGCCATGTTGGCCAGGCTGATCTTGAGCTCCTGACCTCGTGATACGCCCGACTTGGCCTCTTAAAGTCCTGGGATTACAGGTGTGAATCACTGCTGCTGGACCAAAGATTACAAGCAATTTTAATGGATACTTTAGAGTCTTTCAAGAGTACCTCTTCAATTAAGGAAGAGCTGTCTGGAATATTATCAATCAAGACTTTGGAATCATTTGCAGATTGATTAATAACAACATTTGCTATTTTCCGTCTCTTTTCTTCTGGCTCCCCATCAGTGCTATCATTGCTAAAAAATAAAAGTCACCATTTAGAAAATGAATAAAGCATAATGTGAACCACAATGAATGAAATGAATAAAAGATAATGTGAATCACGACGAATTTAAGATAACCCATCATTTAAACAAATGTTTTACACCATATTCTGCTTATATGATTTACTTAAAATGCCATGTATCAAACGACTAACTGCTTAAAATTTTTTGAGCAAAATATATCCTAAGTACACTATAGGTTGGTGAATTCTTTTTTTCAAATTGGATCTTGAATTTAATAGGCCAGTTTTCCCTCCTCTCTACAATCAGCTCCTCATCTTTTTTATAACCTGCATATAATCTGCATCTGGTCCAGCATAACACTAATGTTTTTAGGCTTTTATATACTAGAGAAAACTAATATACTGAGCAATAGAGTATAATCTTACCAGTTCTTGAAAAATATGGAGAGATAAACAATTGACCAATGAAAAAAGAATACAGAAATTTGAGGAAATGTTGTATTGACTTAAAGACCCAAAATATTGAGGCTAGCCTAACATTGGAAAGGAGAGGACAAGTCAAACTACTTTTACTCAACATTTAGAAACGAAAAACTCAGCACATTTTAAAGCATATACAGCATTATTTTCTATAAACACTTCTCCCCGCTCTCCATCTTAATAGTGAAATTTATTTGGTCAACCATTTTTTCTATAAGGTGATAAAAGAAATCTGAGTCTCCCTTTCCTCATTTTCTATTACTCTTCCCTCAATTATATCCACATCTAGCCACATTAGTAGGTCACCTTAAGTCCCTGAACTTGTTAGGCATGTTTCCACTTGCAGACATTTGAAATTCCCTCTATTTGGAAAGCATAACATTTTCTTAAACTATTTAAAACTATTTGAAACTTTTCCTAGATATTCACAGGACTAGCACTCTCATTTCTTTCAGGTTGTTACTTAAAATTCACCTCTATGAAGCCCTCGCAGACCATCCTATCTAAAATTTCAAACTCTAAACTCTATACCCCAAAAATATTTCACATGTTCTTCCCTATTTTATCTTCTTTTCCTTAACCCTTATCATTAACATGATCTGTATTTTATATATATACACATACAGACACACACACTCTAGTTTACTTATTTATTTCCCATATTTCTTTCCCTCCAGACTATAACTTCCAAAGGCAGGAATTCTTATCTATTTTATTTACTCATGTCCTCAGGGCCTAGAACAATACCTGGCAAATAGAAGGTATTTAATAAATGTTTGTGAAATGAATGACTTATGAACTCTGAAAAATAAAGTCTAATATTTCCAACATTAAAATCTTTGGCTAAAACTGCTTGTATGAATAAAAACCAGTAGAAAAACTTAATAGGTTACTATATGATCTTAATGAGCTGCTAACTTTCTTAACATCTTGTCATTAACAAGCTGAATAAAAAGTCTGCAGTTAAAGATTCAGCCTCAAGTATAAATTTCTACCAAGTATATGTTTACTATTTATCCCCCCTTTTGTCTAGCTTTTAAACACTAAACACTTTTTAGCTTTATGTGAACACATATAACAAAAAGTTCTGTCATCTGCAAATCCTATTTTCCGAGGCTTTTTATTAATTCAGCATTTATGCAAACATTTCCTGAGCACCACTAAAGATTTGTATTTAACAGATCTGAGTGGGATCCAAGAATATATATTTTTGGCCAGGTGTGATGGCTCAAAGCCTATAATCTCAACACTTTGGGAGGCCAAGGAAGGAGGACCACTTGAGCCAAGGAGTTAGAGACCAGCCTAGGCAACACAGGGAGACCCTATGTCTACAAAAAAATTAAAAATTAGTCACGCATAGTGGTGCACACCTGTAGTCCCAGTTACTTGGGAGGCTGAGGCAGGAGGATTGCTTGAGCCTGGGAGTTTGAGGCTGCAGTGCGTTACGATCGTGCCACTGCACTCCAGCTTGGGTGACAGAGTGAGACTGTATCTCAAAAAACAAAAACAAAAACAAAAACAAAGGAAAAAAAACAGCATTTTTTTTACAAGCTCCTCAAAGAGCACCTGAAGGAAATAGTTTTGAACCACTCTTTGAGAAATGCTGCTCCAAGCCATGCAAAGATGATCACTTTTAGCAACTCATGAAGAAACAGAGGACAGTGACTTTACCCACAGAGTTCTTTTCTTCAACAGGACTACATAAACTAACCTAGATTATCATTGGCTATTTAGCATAGCCCCAGCTTAAGGAACAGGTGAGGTAATATCGTGACAATACCTCCCACTTTACTAAGGGAGTATTCTTAACTTATGGTCCTTAGGCACCTCTCTGACTTCATTCTCTATCACTCTCCTGTGCACTCATCCCAGTATAGAAAGCCATACTGCCCTTCTATTTGTTTCTTGAATATTCCATTTAAGGCATTTAAACTTGTTTTTTCTGCCTGGAATGCTCTTCCCTTTGGAGATCCTCAGCCCTCATTCAAAACCGGTAATTAGTAGGAAAAAAGTCTGTACATGTGGATTTTTCTGGGGAAGTGGTCTCAGTTCCCAGTAACAATAAATACTCTCTGATAATTGAGTAAGAGAATCCAAACAGTACTCCTCAGCTAAACATGTCAGCAGAATGTTTCTATAAATCAAGCAGACACAGATTAAAGCCACACAGCCCTCTTGTTTTAAGTGAATAAGCAAAAAAAGATTACTACCTCTTCTCATTAGCTTCCACTGCATCCCTGGATCTCTGTTTTGCAAATAACTTGGCCATTCTTTTAGCTTTGTTCCTTTGTCTATTGCTCATTCCTGCTCGAAACTCTGAGTCAATCAATTCAGCTGCCTGAAGAGTCTAAAAGAATAAAAGAATGCTGAGTTGGAACTTTTGAACTTAAAATAAATACCTATAGTCTCAGCCTCAGAAGAAGACTAAGTCTATAAATTTCAGTGTATATACATCGATCACATTCTTTTTTGACAGACTCACACTCTTCTGTTGTATGTACCATAATTTCAGTCTTTTCCTCCCTCTTCTCTATTATTCCAACTCCCAACAGATACACATAATGCTTCTTAACTTTTTTTATGCTACATTATGAGGTACAAATGTATGATCCTAACCCACAGAGAAGGCTTTGAAGAGGTAAGACTTCAAAATAAAAATAATATCACCAAAAAGTTATGAGAATAAATGTCAACAAAAGAAACTGATCATCACCATCTGCTGAAATAAATAAATAAGTAAATTATAGCCTTAAGTGATTGGTCCAGCATGCTATTGTCCAGCTTAGCTCATATGCTCCTTTCCTCTTAACTACTTACCGCCTACTCTTTTTGCTCTTTTCCATTCACAGAAGACACTATAAAGTCTGTGTGTTAGATTTTTAAGCTCAAGCCTAAAAATCCCTTCTGTGCCTACCCATAAGATTCAACTGAAATTTATACTTCCGCAACCAGTTAAGGTCACTGGTGTGCATGTTCTGCTGCAGTCTTGATAAAGAACTATGGGCACATATACAAGCAATGCAGCTGTAATGACTTATGGCAACGATGAACCTTAAGCAACTTCCCCCAAAGGTCCATGATACATAAACCTGGATTTTGCAAATCCCAAATTGGTGTTGCCTATCCCACACCCAATTAATCTGATGTGAATAGCCCACTTTCTAATACACCTGCTCATTCATTTTCTTACACCATGTTCAATTACTCATACTGTGATCACGTTATTGCATTTTTATTCTCCATTATTTTATTTTATTTTATTTTCCTCTTTATCTTCTAGTTACATCTTACACTTTCCTTTCTACCCCATTTCCTTCTGTTCCTTTCAGGGTGTTGCTGTATTTCGGCCTCTTCATACTCTCTCTTTTTTCTCTCCTAGTATCTGCCCTTTTTCCCCCTTGTCTGCGAAAGTTATTCATCATCACACACCGCCCCAACCCTAAAAAATACACTTTACAAATTCTAATGGTTTAAGTTGCCATTCATATAAAGGCAAATAGAACCAATCTCCACTGAAGCAAAGGAAATGAACAAGGGAATGACAAGATAGGAGATTCATAACTGCAAAGCAGGAATTTTTAATGCAGCCCGTGGACCCCTAAAAGAACACTGGGGGTCAGGTAAAAGAGTACAGAACCCCTTGCGATGTAATATCGCATTGTATGTGCATTTTTCTGAAGAGAGAACCACAGCTTTTACTAGCGCTTCAAAAGAGTCTGTGGCATAAAAAAAGTTAAGCAGCACAAATTTATCCACTGGGAACTGGAACAGAGGAGGAGGAAGAAATCAGTGAAATTATGGTACAGACACAAAACAAAACAGCACCATGAAGCTGTCCAAGAAGAATGCGGTCAATCTGAATACACTGATACATTAAGCTGTATGAAGTGAGAAAGGGCAAACATGGCTTAAAGTAATACATACATACACACACACACACACACACACACACACGCACTTGTACATAGAAGTTTCAGAAATGATGCACAAGTAACTTGAAAATGGTTGTCTACGGGACATGGAAATGTTTGTGTCCTGTTGGCAAAAAACTTCCTTTTACTTCATATTATATACTCTTTTTTGGTTGTTTGCAAGTCTTGTCATATTTTTCACTTAAAAAGAATCAATCATAACACTAAACACTTCTACTATCATATCTGACTATAATAGCCCTTACTATCTCTCTCTCCCCCAAAAAGTTACTTTTCCCTCCATCAAAGTACATACCAAAAAAAGAGCAATTGGAGCAATTAGAATCTTTCAATACCAGTAGTTCCTAAAAGGTCTAATACAACTTAACAGTCCAGTGTCTGGGAGGTAGGTTGAGCTGCTGACTCTATAGAATCTGTCATCAGAAATCCAGTTTAAAAAGATGCTAAATCATGGTGGCACTAAGCAGCAATGAACAGAGCTAAGTATAACATTTTCTTAAACTATAATTACATGAGCAAAATGAAGCAAACCCTTTGTATTATTACTTGCAATCAAATACCCAAACGTTTTACCTACAGGTTGTTTGTTTACAAAGGCTGCTGAAGTTGGGGTATAATCCAAATCCTCATCATTAAAAAGTTCTTCAGTACTCATTCCAATTGCTTCTCCCATATTAAGGCCAAGTTTCTTCTGTAATAATTTTCGTTGGCGTGCTATCCTCTCTTTAGGATCCACTTCACCTTTCAACAGAAAAGAAATACGTTTTCTCCAAATCAGTTAAGAAATTTTCTAATATGTGCACATTGAATTCCATCAAAATAAACACACTATTAAAACATCCCTTCTGCCAATAAAACCAACCATATTCATTCACGATCATCTCTGAACATCTCATAAACTCTGTTACCTAATCACATTGGAAAATAGTGTTCTAGTTAACAAAACATTCTGGGAGTTCTCACTGAGATTCCCCCATTCCCCAACTGTCAATTAGTAAATACATATAAAATAGTAAGATTCATTCCTGGGCCAGGTGCAGTGGCTCACACCTGTAATCCCAGCACTTTGGGTGGCCAAGGTGGGAGGATCACTTGAGCCCAGGAGTTTTGAGACCAGTCTGGACAATGTAGGGAGGCCCCATCTCTATAAAAAATAATTAGCAGGGCATGATGGTGCACGCCTGTAGTCCCAGCTACTCCAGGGACTGAAGCAGGAGTCTTGCTCAGCCCAGGAGGTCAAGGCTGCAGTGAGCTGTGATCAAAACACTGCAGTCCAGCCTGGGAAACACAGTGAGACCCTGTCTCAAAAAAAAAAAAAATTCATCTCTATGGAAACAAATCAATTTTATTTTATAGCTACACCTGTACCTCCTATGAAAGCTCTCACTGGGCAAAAAAAAAAACAAAAAACAAACAAAAAAATAAAAAACCAATATCTAGATTTTGTTCAATGGTAAAAGGGCTCAAAAAACAAATGCTTACTCCAAGTGTAGCCTTTATGTATTCTGAGCTGATACAGCCCTAATATCCCAAATAATAACGATAAGGGAATAAAACTAGACAGGTTTTTAAGTGTCTCAAGTAAAACCCTCAATCCTTCGGTGCAAAACAGACAAAACAAAACATACCAAAAGGCATTTAAAAATAAAAATTTCCCCTTAAAACAGTTAAGCTGTAAAAGAGAGTTATACCTTATTGAAAAAAATTTGGTATTTTAAAAACAATAACAATCTGCTTCTAATAATGGCTGAGTTAGTTCCTATCGGACTAACCCTCTGCACCTAACAAACTCTGGCCAAAACAGAAAAAACAAACTACCTAAAGGCACAAAGGAAAAAAAAAAAAAAAAGTATTTACTTAGGGGAACTGTCAGTACTTAAAAAGATGGGAATAGCACTAACAGCTAAAAGCTACAAAAGCTAAAAGCTACAAAAAAAAAAAAAAGTTTTCCCTTTTTGTAACATTTAGCCTGAAGATAGAGGCAGTCCACGAAATGTGTGGCAGCTAAAATTTGAATTGAAAACCTAGTCGTCTTTTTTTCCCCCAACTAAGGACAAGGTCTGTCACTCTGATACCCAGGCAGTAGCTACAATCATAGCTCACTGCAGCCTCAAACTCCTGGACTTAAGAAGTCCTCCTGCCTCAGCCTTCTGAGTAGCTAGTACTATATGCATGTGTCACTATTCCTGGCTAATTTTTTTTTTTTAATTTTTAATTTTAGAGATGGGGTTTACTATGTTTGCCCAGGCTAGTTTTGAACTCCTGGCCTCAAGCAGTCCTCCTGCCTTGGCCTACCAAAGTGCTGGGATTACAAGCGTGAGCCACTGCACCTGGCCAAAACCCACAGTCTTTCTGGCTTGGCTTGAAGCATGAGGAGAGAGTTAGGGGCCATTGCAATCCCAGGAAGTTAGAAAGGGAAAACCCTCAAAAAGAGAGAACCAGAGAGACGAAGGCCAAAATTATCTGTAAACTCAGCCCAAATCTCTGGCTGACCCCTGAACTATGCATGCACAGAGCAAACTCCAAACAACGCAGCTAAAGCTAAGATCTAAAAAGCTAAAATTGACATTTGAGCTATTGCCCACAGCAAAGAAGAATGAGTTTGAAAATTTTAATTCCATCAAATTAAATGTCTGCTAAAATAAGCAAGCAAAAACAAGCAAAACAATCTTTGGAAGAACATAACAGAATCTAGTCCACACCACGTAACATTCCTAATGTGCAGAATAACTGACAAAATTAAACAAAAGCAAAGAAAAGAAAACGTAACCCATTTTCAAAAGAAAGACAATAGGGACCAACTCTGAGATGTCTCAGATGTTAGAATTAAAAGGTTTTAGGATTTCTGTTGTTTTTTGAGACACGGTCTTGCTCTGCTGCTCAGGCTGGAGTGCAGTAGCATGATCACAGCTCACTGGAGCCTTATCCTCCCAGACTCAAGCAATCCTCCCACCTCAGCCTCCTGAGTAGCTGGGAACACAGGCATGCACCACTACACCAGCTAATTTTTTATTTTTTGTGGAGGTGGGGTCTCTCTAGATTGCCCAGGCTGGTCTCAAACTCCTGGGCTCAAGACATCCTTTCACTTTGGCCTCCCAAATTGCTGGGATTATAGGCCTGAGTTACTGCACCTGGCCAGAATGCAAGATTCGTAAGCAACTAACGTAAGAATGCTCAATGTAAAAGAAGATACTGTCACAATTAATGAAAGACAGAGGATACCTTGGTAAAGAATGAGAAACTATAAAAAAGAACCAGGCTAGGTATAGTGGCTCACATCTGTAATCCCAACAGTCTGGGAGGCCAAGGCAGGAGGATCGCTTTGGCCTAGGAGTTCAAGACCAGCCTGAGCAACATGGCAAAATCCCATCTATACAAAAAATTTAAAAAATATATAGAATTGTACACTTTAAAAGGGTGAATTAAATAATGTGCAAAATATGCCAACACAATTTTTTTTTTTTAAATAAAAAAGAAGGTCTGGGGCAGGCATAGTGGCTCACACCTGTAATCTCAGCACTTTGGGAGGCTGAGGTGGGAGAATCGCTTGAGGCCAGGAATTTGGGACCAGCCTGGGTAACACAGCAAGACCCTTATCTCTAAAGAAAAAAAAAATAAAAAATTAGCCAGGCTTGGTGGCACATGCCTGTGGTCCTAGCAAGATGGGAGGATTGCTTGAGCCCAGGAGTTCAAGGGTGCAGTGAGCTATGATCATATCACTGAACTCCAGCCTAGGCAACAGAGTTAGATCCTGTCTCTAAATAAATAAATAAATAGTTCTAAAACTAAAAAATACAGTATCTGAAAAAAAATTCTTTTAAACCACTGGATAGACTTAACAGCTTAATGGAAGATAACAGGACAAAATGCAAGCGAACTTAAAGATAAAGCAATACTGTTCTCACTCATAGGTGGGAACTGAACAATGAGAACACTTGGACACAGGGCAAGGAACATCACACACTGGGGCCTGTCGTGGGGTGGGAGTATGGGGGAGGGATAGCATTAGGAGATATACCTAATATACATGACGAGTTAATGGGTGCAGCAAACCAACACAGCACATGTATACATATGTGACAAACCTGCACGTTGTGCACATGTACCCTAGAACTTAGTATAATAATAAAAAAAAGATAAAGCAATACAAAGTACCCAATCTAAAGAACAAAGAGAAAAAAAGATACAAGGAAAAAAAAGCCCAAATATGAAATCAAGAAAACAATTCTATTTACGAAAACAACTTGTATTCTGTAAAGTATAAAATGAAAAAAAATTTAAAACCAAATGAAAATGTTCATGCATCATAAGAGTAAATATTGTTAAAACACTAATATTTCCCAAATGTATATACAGATTCAACACAATTGCTATCAAAATCCCAGCTGGCTTTTTTTTTTTTTTTTGCAAACGTTGACAGACTGGTCCTAAAATTCATATGGAAATGCAAGAGACTCAGAATAACCAAAACAATCTTGAAACACAGGAACAAAGTTGGAGGTTCATATATCCTGATTTCAAAACTTACTACAATGCAACAATAATTAAGACAATGTGGTACTCGCATAAGAATAGACATCAATGGAATAGAATTAAGAGTCCTGAAATAAACCTATGTGTCAATAGTCAACTGATTTTTGACAAGGGTTCCAGAGCAATTCAATGGGAAACAGAACAGTATTTTCTACAAATAGTGTTGAGACAACAGGATAGCCACATGTAAAAGAATGAAGTTGGACCCTTAACCTCAAAACATATACAAAAAAACCTCAAAATTAATAAAAGAACTAAAAACTAAAGCTATAAAACTCTCAGAAGAAAAAAGAGGTTGGCCGGGCACAGTGGCTCAAGCCTGTAATCCCAGCACTTTGGGAGGCTGAGACGGGCAGATAACGAGGTCAGGAGATCGAGAACATCCTGGCTAACACGGTGAAACCCCATCTCTACTATAAAATACAAAAAACTAGCCGGGCGAGGTGGCCAGCGCCTGTAATCCCAGCTACTCGGGAGGCTGAGGCAGGAGAATGGCGTAAACCCGGGAGGTGGAGCTTGCAGTGAGCCGAGATCCAGCCACTGCACTCCAGCCTGGGCAACAGAGCGAGACTCCGTCTCAAAAAAAAAAAAAGAAAAGAGAAGTAAATGAGCTTGAATTTGGCAAGTTTCTTACATATAATACCAAAAACTTGAGACACAAAAAATATACAAAAAAATTGGACTTCATAAAAATTAAAAACTTTTATATTTCAAAGGATACCACAGAGGAAATGAAAAGATAACCAATAGAGCAGTAGAAAATATGTGTACATCAGACTGGGCATGATGGCTTACGCCTATAATCCCAGCACTTTGGGAAGCCAAGGCTGGTGGATTACCTGAGGTCAGGAATTAGAGACCAGCCTGGCCAACACTGTGAAATCCCATCTCTACTAATAATAAAAATATTAGCTGGGTGTGGAGGCAGGCGCCAGTAATCCCAGCTACTGTGGGAAGGAGCCGAGGCAGGAGAATCATTTGAACTCAGGAGGTGGAGGTTGCAGTGAGCAGAGATCGCACCACTGCACTCCAGACTGGGTGATGGAGTGAGACTCTTGTCTCAAAAAAAAAAAAAAGAAAGAAAGAAAGAAAGAAAAAGAAAAAAAGAAAACATATAAATCACGTATCTGTTAAGAAGCTTGTATTGAGAACATATACTCTGACAACTCATAATAAAAGGGCAAACAACCCAACGAAAAACGTGCAAGTTATAAGAATTGACATTTCTCTAAAGAAGGTATACGAATGGTCAATACACGAAATGAAGTTCAATGTTATTGGACAACAGGGAAATGCAAATCAAAATCACAATGAGATATCACTTCACACCATTAGTATGGCTATAATCAAAATGTCCGATAATAACAAGTGTCAGGAAAAGATGTTGAGAAATCGAACGTAAAATAGCAGAGCCACTTTGGAAAACTCTGGCAGTTTCTCAAATGGTAAAATACAGTTACCATATGAGCTGGTAATTCCACTCCTAGGTATCTACCTGAGGGAAATTAAAGCATATGTCCACACAGAAAGCTGTACATGAATTTTTATAGCAGTATTTTTCTTTCTTTTTTTAGATGGAGTTTCGCTCTTGTTGCCCAGGCTGAAGTGCAATGGCGTGATCTCAGGTGACGGCAACCTCTGCCTCCCCGGTTCAAGTGATTCTCCTGCCTCAGCCTCCCAAGTAGCTGGGACTACAGGTATGCGTCACCATGCCCTGCTAATTTTTGTATTTTTAGTAGAAATGGGGTTTCTCCATGTTGGTCAGGCTGGTCTCGAACTCCTGACCTCAGGTGATCGCCCGCCTCAGCCTCCCAGCAGTATTTTTCAAAATAGATAAAAGGTAGAAACAACCCAAATGTCCATCAACTAATGAAAAGCTTTACAAACTGTGGTATTCATACAATGGAATATTACTTGGCCATAAAATAAAATACTACCACATCATATCCATTAGGATGGCAACTATTAAAAAACAGAAAATAACAAGAGTTGGCAAGGATGTGGAGAAACTGGAACCCTTGTGAACTATTGGTAGAAATGTAAAATGATGTAGCTGTTAGGGAAAACTGAATGGCAGCTCCTCAAAAAATTAAAAATAGAATGACCACCTGATCCAGCAATTTACTTCTGGGTATATACCCCAAAGAACTGAAAGCAGTAACTCAAACAGATATTTGTACATCCATGTTCACAGTAGCATTATTCACAACAGTCAAAATGTGGAATAAGCCTGCGTCCACTGGTGGATGAAAGGATAAACAAAATCTATATACATACAATGGACTATTATTCAGCCTTAAACAAAAGGAAATTCTGTCCTATACTACAACACAGATGAACCTTGAGGACATCATGTTAAGTGAAATAAGCCCATCACAAGAAGACAAACACTGTAGGATTCACTTACGTGAGGAATCTAGAGTAGTCAAATTCATGGGGATAGAAAGAATAATGGCTGCCAGGGGCTGGGGAAAGGGGGAAATGGGGATTTGACGTTTAATAGGTATAGTTTCAGTTTTGCATGATGAAGACTTCTGAAGACTGGCTGCACAACAATGTGACTATACTTAACATTACTAAACTTAAAAATGGTTAAGGATGGTAAATTTTTTATTATATATATTTTACCACAATTTTAAAAACCTAATATATCCCTTAAGAGTAATAACATTTAGAAAAGAAAAAAAAGTACTGATATACTCTATCACATAGATGAACCTTGAAAATATTCTCTTAGGTAAAAAAAGCCACTTACAAAAGACCACATATTGTAGGACTCCATTTACCAGCCACATGCCATTTAATGATGAGTACATTCCAAGAAACGCGTCATTCAGTGATTTTGTGGTTGTCAACATCACAGTGTACTTACACAAACCTAGAACGTAGAGCCTACTACACAGATACGCTGTATGGTATAGCCTGTTGCTGCTAGGCTACAAACCTGTATAGCACGTTACTAAATACTGTAGGCAACTGTAACACAATGGTAAGTATTCATATATCTAAACATAGAAACATACGGTAAAAATGCAGTAATATACTTTTAAGGAACCACCACTGTATATGCAGTCTTAGTCTGTTGCTGACTTAAATGCTGTTATGTGGTATGTGACCAAATATAAAATGTTGAGAATAAGCAAATCTAAAGAGACCAAAAGAAGACTTGGGGTTGCTAAGAAGGGGAGGGAAGGAAGTAGGAGGATAAAAGAGTGATAGCTTAGGATATGGGGTTTCTTCTTAAAGTGACGAAAATGTTCTAAAATTGACTGTGGTGATGGCTACACATACCTGTGAGTATACTAAAAACCACTGAATTGTACACTTTAAATGACGAAGTATATAATGTATAAATTATATCTCAATAAAGTTGCTTGAAATTTTTTTTTTTTTTTTTTTTTTTTTTTTTTTTTTTGAGACGGAGTCTTGCTCTGTCACCCAGGCTGGAGTGCAGTGACCGGATCTCAGCTCACTGCAAGCTCCGCCTCCCGGGTTTACGCCATTCTCCTGCCTCAGCCTCCCAAGTAGCTGGGACTACAGGCGCCTGCCACCTCGCCCGGCTAGTTTTTTGTATTTTTTAGTAGAGACGGGGTTTCACCGGGTTAGGCAGGATGGTCTCGATCTCCTGACCTTGTGATCCACCCGTCTCGGCCTCCCAAAGTGCTGGGATTACAGGCTTGAGCCACCGCGCCCGGCAGAAAATTTTTTTTAAAGACTGCTCTACCAAGTAGGGAAAAACATTAGGCATCCAAAACACTGCTTGATCACAACCCCAATACACTTACACAGAGCCAAAAATTGGTCCTCTCATTCCAGAGGAAGTCCTATTGGGGGAAATAAGCTACAAAGGAAACCCAGACCAGTATGTATACTAATCATATATGGTGTTACTAATACATAGGAGGGGACAAACACAGATCAACATTTAAAGAAAACCTAACTACAGGGTTTTAAACAAGCACTGTTCAGCAAGCTCTGACTTATTAGCACGAAAAAACTGAGTTCCCAAGAAACTGCAGTTCCCAATCCTGGTTACATATCAGAATCACCTATAGGACTTTTCTCTTTTTTTGAGATGGAGTTTCACTCTCGTCACCCAGGCTGGAGTGCAATGGCATGATCTCACTCACTGCAACCTCCGCCTCCCAGGTTCAAGCCATTCTCCTGTCTCAGCCTCCAGAGTAGCTGGGATTACAGGCACCCGCCTCCACACCCAGCTAATTTTCATATTTTTAGTACAGACAGGGTTTCACCATGTTGGCCAGGCTGGTCTCGAACTCCCGATTTCAGGGGATCCACCTGCCTCGTCCTCCCAAAGTGCTGGGATTACAAGTGTGAGCTACCATGCCGAGCCGGGCTTTTCTTTTAAATACAATTACCTACACTTCTTTATAAATCTATGAAATCAGAATACGGCAAAACCAAAACATATAGAATTTTTATCTCTGATAATATCCATGAGTACACTAGTAAAGTCAGTAAACTTACTGTTTAGTGATATAAATGAAAAGTTTTTGAAGACTTTTACCTCCATTATTAGAAAAACTGCTTTTCCAAAACTTAAGCAAATTATCCTCTTAATTCTCTGCAAAAATAACTAGATCTTTTAATAGAAACCATACTAAACAAGATGAAATGAGAATTTGACAATTTTTTATGATAAAAAAAGTGAATATACTAATAAGGTTCTAAATGACGGTTAATTAGCAACAGAACAGAGTTTTATTCTGTTTTGTTTTTTAATCAAAAAGGCAACTTATTTACTTACAAAAATCCACTTAAAACATCAAGGTTTTTTCCCCACTCCAGGCCATTATCTTGAATGGCTAAAACATTTATTTTATATTCAGATAGATTCTGTAAGTTTAAAAATATTAGGACAATACCCGTCCAAGTCTTTTTTTCTTCTTTTTTTGAGATGGGGTCAACCTCTGTTGCCCAGGCTGGAGTGCAGTGGCGTGATGTCGGCTCACTGCAACCTCTGCCTCCTAAGTTCAAGCAATTCTCCAGCCTCAGCCTCATGGGTAGCTGGGATTACAGGCACTTGACACCACGCCTAGCTAATTTTTCTATTTTTAGTAGAGCCGGTGTTCCACCACGTTGGCCAGGCTGCTCTCGAACTCCTGACCTCAGGTGATCTGCCCACCTTGGCCTCCCAAAGTGCTGGGATTACAGGCGTGAATATCTATCCAAGTCTTATTTTTCACTCTTAGTTTTTGCTTTGGACACCAGCATGAGTAAACCCAATTAATACCAGAAATACGTGATAAAAACAAAACAATCAATCTCTCAAATTTCCAGAATTGGGAAAGCATTACCACAATCTGTACTAATCCTGATTTTATAATATATTAAACTGGGGCTCTTGGGTAACACTTTATAATTTCTATATTACCTAATATAATTGCTGCTGAAATATTAATATGTATCAACTAATGATGCACATATTCACTTAAAGGAGGAAAAATACTCATACTGTAGCTTTAAACCAAATACAGCTGGGTTACCTTCAAATTCATAGCATCCCCTGCCACCTGCAAACTTCAGTTAATTTACATTTCATGACATGTTAGTTTATGTGTGACTAATGAACAGCATATGAAGTGACAAATTCATTTGAAAAAACAAATTTTAGACTTTCTTCTACAGAACCACTACAGACCTGATTTTTCATCTTGGACTTCAAATTCGGCACCAGCAGATCCCAGGAGTGATGCACCATGTTGTAACAATCTACATATATCAAATCTGTCAAAATTCAATCGCTCTGTAGTAGGTGAATCTTCCATAGAACTTTCGGAAGTAGGTTCTACATGAGGTTTAAAAATATTAATTTGACCATATAGCCAAAGTGTGGAATGAAAGAAAACAGCATATCATTACTTGGGTTGCATCGGTTACACACACACACACACACACACACACACACACACACACACACACACAAGCTTTTGTTTTTTTAAGAAGCAAGGTCTTGCTCTGTTGCCCAGGCCAGAATGTAGTGGCATGATCATAGCTCACTATATCCTCAAACTCCTGGGATCAAGGAATCCTTCTGTCTCAGCCTCCAGAGTAGCTACGACTCCAGGTGCACACAGCTATGCCTAGCTAAGTGATTTTTACTTTTGTAGAGACAAGGGTCTCACCATCTTGCCCCAGGCTGGTCTCAAACTCTGGGGCTCAAGCAATCCTCCTGCCTCAACTTCCCAAAGTGCTGGAATTTACAGGCGTGAACCATTGTACCCAGATAGTAATATTGTGAGAAAAGTAAAAGTGGAGGAAGTAGAAAAGCTACTGTGGGTTTATGATCAGTTCTTAGTTATCTATGAATAAACTGGTGGTTCTTCTTTCACCAACCATCAGATTTTAGTGAGTATATATGTAACTGTGTCCAACCACAAAAGCAAAATGTTATGTATATAAAGAAATGCATTCCCATGTTAAAATGTATATGTTAAATATCATGCTGTCTCCACTTACTGTAAGAATTTAAAAATACCAAGGTAACAGAATGAGTTTATTATAGCTCAGTTAGAAGATAAAAATATTCACAGAATGTATTCATGAATAAGGCTAATAAGAATCATCCCTCCCCATACCTGAGGAACAGGCTGAGCCACAAAGCAACTATGCACTCAACAGGACTCAGTTTCCATACTCTAGGCAAATAAGAATCTCCTGGTAAGTTGCCAAAACCATATATACATGTGAGGTCTAAAAACATCTATAAAATGTTCTGTATTCCTTCCTCAAAAAGCTATATGTTATAAATGTTAAAATATAATTACTCGTTGACTTAATATTTGTTTAGCTGGCATCTGCATGAAACTCATCTGTTAACTAAAGTATAACTGCTTAACTTAAAATGAATTTCTATTAGTATTTTAAGTTTTCTAGAGATGATAAGCAAATTCACTTACTAAAAATTTTACAGCTAGTTAAAAATTTAATGCTAGTGTAATGCTAGTTTTTTTTAAAAAATTAAGTCTTTTAAAAATGGAACTAAGTTGTACCACCTTTATGTACCAAACTAAGTGGGGATAACAAGATGAAAAGGAAAAGGCTCTTTTCTAAAACAAGTTACAACTTCTCTAGTCACACATTTCATTTAATGAGAGAAGACAAATTAACAAAATAACTCAAAATAACAGGTATCAGGAAATATAAAGCAACAGTTTTAGGCAAGTTAAGACTTATGATAAAAGTGATGTTATTAAAGTGAGTTGAGGCCGGGCACAGTGGCTCATGCCTGTAATCACAAACTTTGGGAGGCTGAGGTGGGCAGATCACTTGAGGCCAGGAATTCAAACCCCCACCCCAGCCTGGCCAACAAAGCAAAACCCCATCTCTACTAAAAATACAAAATCAGCTGGGCATGGACCTGTAATCCCAGTTACTTGGGAGGCTAAGGCACGAGAATCGCTTGAACCCAGGAGGCGGAGGCTGCAGTGAGCCAAGACTGCATTACTGCACTCCAGCCTGGGTGCCACAGTGAGACTCCGTCTCAAAAAAATAAAATAAAATAGTTGAAAATGAATCTAGTTGTACCATTAAATTTTGATTTAATTAAAATGTGCAACTTTCCAGCTTTTCAGAAGCACGTAATTTGTTTTTAAATATCACTACAGGCAATCAGAACACATTTTTTTCCCACTACAAGAAATCTAAAAAAGGTACATAAAAAACAAGACTTAACACTCCAAATATCTATATATAATTGTGCTTAAATGTAGAAAGTAACTACCCTATACTATTCTCCCAGCAACAAGAAAAAAATAGACTTTCAAATATTTACATTGTACTGATTTAACTTTTTTAGAATGTCAATTACTTGAAGGGAAGTAATAACCTTTGTAAATCAAGCATACTGTAGAGTTTGTAATTTAAAATGCATACAAAAACATTTTCTATATCCAGTATTTTTTTTTTCAATATAGTGAAAAATCACCTTATTCAGTATCATTTCCTGACAAAGCTGTACCTAAAAGCATGGAAATTAAGACTTTAAAATTGAAATTATTAAAATATAAAATGCATATTATAATTAATTCTACAGTTAGGTTTTTACTTAAAACTACTTTCTCCACTTAAAAGCACCTTGTCTGGTTCTTGGCACTGGATTCCACTCAGGTACATTTTTCACTATAGCTTCAACAGCTTGTCCTGCTGCGATCCGGGTATCCCAATTTGCACTCCTTAAATATATCAACACCTTAAAAATTATAAAATACAAGTTATGTATACAAAAATATTGTTTGTGCAAGGTAGCCAGAACAGAGAAATACAAATTTACTTGTTATTAATGTATAATTTGGCAGCTATCCAAATACATATAAAACACCTTAGAAATTATTAAATTAATTTACAAAATTCTATCATTCACATAAAAATCACTATCACCTTAAATAGGGGATTTAAGAAACCTGTGGCCAGGCACAGTGGCTCATGCCTATAATCCAAGCACTTTGGGAGACCAAGGTGGGCAGATCACCTGAGGTCAGGAGTTCAAGACCAGCTTGGCCAACATGGTGAAACTCCATCTCTACAAAAAATACAAAATTAGCCAGGCATAGTGGCACGCGCCTGTCATCCCAGCTACTTGGGAGGCTGAGGCAGGAGACTCACTTGAACCTGGGAGGCAGAGGTTGCAGTGAGCCAAGATGGTGCCACTGCACTCCAACCTGGACAACAAGAGCAAATCTCTGTCTCAAAAAAAAAAAGAAACTTGTAATTAAAGAATGTTTAAGTGCATTTTAAAAATGACAGCCATTTAACATACTAAAAAGCAAAGTACATATTATTCATTAAGTCCCATTACTTAATACACAAAATCAATTTATTTCCACACATTAAACAATCTGAAAATGAAATTAAGAAACCATCCCATTTACAGTAGCATCAGAATGTAGAAAATAAGAATCAATTTAACAGAAGCAGTGTATGACTTGTACAATGAAAGCTATAAAACACTAAAAATATTGTTGAAGAAATTAAAGATATAAAGACACCTTGTGTTCATGGATTCAAAGACTTAAGATTGTTACAACAGTAATATACTATAAATTAATGAAGAGATTCAACACAATTCCTATTAAAATCCCAGCTGTTTTTTTTGTTTATTTTGTTTTGTTTTTTTGCAGAAATGGACAAGCTGATCCTAAAATGTATATGCAAATGCAAGGGACTCAGAATTACCAAAACGATCTTGAAAAAAAAAAAAGTAGACTCACACTTCTTTTATTTTTATTTTTTAGAGACGGAGTCTCTATGGTACTCAGACTGAAATGCAGTGTCTTAGTCACAGGTGCAATCATAGCACACTGGAGCCTCAAATTCCTGGCCTCAAGCAATTCTCCTGTCTCAGTCTCTTGAGTAGCTGTGCCTATGGACATGTACCACCACACTTGGCAACACACACTTCTTGACTTCAAAACTTTCTACAAAGCAACAGTAATCAAGACAGTGTGGTACTGGCAAAATGACAGACATACAAATCAATGGAACAGAATTAAGAGTTAATAAATAACCTGTGTCCATGGTCAACTGATTTTCAACAAAGACGTTGAGACAATTCAATGGAGAAATAACAGTCTTTTCAACAAATGGTGGTGGGATAACTGGAAAGCCACATGTAAAAGAATGATGTTGGCCAGCCGCGGTGGCTCACGCCTGTAATCCCAGCACTTTGGGAGGCCAAGGTGGGCAGATCACGAGGTCAGGAGATCGAGACCATCCTGGCTAACATGGTGAAACCCCATCTCTATAAAAATACAAAAAATTAGCTGGGCGTGGTGGTGGGCGCCTATAGTCGCAGCTACTCAGGAGGCTGAGGCAAGAGAATGACATGAACTCGGGAGGCGGAGCTTGCAGTGAGTCGAGATTGCGCCACTGCACTCCAGCCTGGGGATTTATTAACTCTTAATTCTGTTCCATTGATTTGTATGTCTGTCATTTTGCCAGAATGATGTTGAATACCTAGCTCATAACATAGACAAAAATTAACTAAAAAACTGACCACAGAACCCAAAAGTAAGAGCCAAAACTATAAAACTCTTAGAGGAGAACTTAGGGGTAAATCTTTGTCACTTTGGATTAGGCAAAGGTTTCTTAGATACGACACCAAAAGCAGAAGTGATGTTCAAGAAAGTAGAAAGACAGCTCACAGAAGAGTGTATTTCCAAATCAAATACCTATTTCCTAATAATACACCTTTGTATAGTTTGGATACCTTGTATATGAAGAACTATACGAAGAACTTTCACAACTCATCATAAAACGACAAATAACCCAATTTTTAAATGGGCAAGGGATCTAGGTAAACATTTCTCCAAAGAAGATATACAAATGTATTGCTTCTCTGCTTTTTGGCTAAGATCAAGTGAAGACATACAAATGAATAATAAATACATATGCCTGATATCATTAGCCATCAGGGAAATGCAAATTCAAACCACTTCATATTCAGTAGGATGGCTATAATCAAAAAGTCAGTTAAGAAATATTGACAAGGATGTGGAGAAATCTAAGTTCTCATACACTACTGTTGAAAATGTAAATGATGGGACCATTTTGGAAAATAGTTTAGCAGTTCCACATAAAGTTACCATATGGTACAGTAATTCTACTCCCAGGTATATATATACTCTGGAGAATGGGGGAAAACCTCCAAAATTTTATACACAAATTTTCATAGCAGCATTTTTCATAATACAGTAGCCAAAAAGTGAAAACAACCCAAATATTCATCATCCGAAAAATCAGTAAGATGTACACATGTATGTTCACACAATGGAATATTATTTGGCAATGAAAATGAATATACATGCTACAATATAAAAACATTACTTTGAGCAAAAGAAATCAATCACAATAGATTACAATTCATTTTATATGAAATGTTCAGGATAGGCAAATATTCCTACAAAATTAGTTTAGTGGTTGTCAGGCACGAGTGCAGGAGTATTGAAAAGTGACTGCTAGTAGGTATGAGGTTTCTTTTTGTGGTGATAAAATGTTTTAAAATTACAGTACGGTGATGGCTGCTGTACACAATGTTAATATACTAAATGCCACTAAATTGAAACTTACAGATGTAAATTATATTTCAATAAAGCTGTTTAAGAAACAAAACCGGCCGGGTGCGGTGGCTCACGCCTGTAATCCCAGCACTTTGGGAAGCCAAGGCGGGAGGATCACAAGGTCAAGAGATCAAGACCATCCTGGCCAACATGGTGAAACCCCGTCTCTACTAAAAATAGAAAAATTAGCTGGGCATGGTGGTACGCGCCTATAGTCTCAGCTACTCGGGAGGCTAAGGCAGGAGAATCGCTTGAACCTGGGAGGTAGAGGTTGCAGTGAGCCGAGATGGCGCCATTGCACTCCAGCCAGGCAACAGAGTGAGACGTCTCAAAAAAAAAAAGAAAAGAAAAGAGAAACAAACAAAACCAACGGGCAACAGGAAAACATTGACGGCCGAGAAAAGAGGAAAGATGGTGAGACAATGCTAAAGGCAAACTCTGCCTCTTTGGGAATGATTTGATGGTAGCCAATATGCTGAGGTCTGAGTGAAGAAGACCAGAACTCACTTGGAAGGCTGGAAAACTTTTCTCAGTTCAGCACAGATGGGGCCTGTTCATTGTTTCACAGTTTCAGGTCATTCAGTCCTCCATTTCTTCTCTTGGGCTGAGGAGAAGAAATATGTTGCCTCTCTCTGTCTCCACCTTACACACAAATACTGCCTAACATGCATCCTTCTTCATTCTAAGAACATGGAGCCTGTAGGTATCAAATCACTCTCTCTCCATCTACATCCTAGTTAGAAAGTTCGGATAATATGTAAGTGGGAATTATGTTGGAAAGAAAGTCACTGTTAGTCCTTGTGGTAGCAACCACATAGTGCAGATGTGTGTATGTTGAAAAGGGCTTGGAACTCCCACTCATACACAACAGAGATGGACAGATGAGAACGAAAAAAGGGGTCAAACTGAAAGGAGAGAGAGATCCTGGGGCTCCTAATATCTGGGCAATCATATTGCTCCCCTACACTACCCTGTATCTACCTCCCCAACTCCCCTACTCCTACACAAAGCACTCCTGCTTTACTTTCCATGTCAGGAAATTAAATGTATAGAATTTGCCACTTATTACGATACAGGTACACTTCAATAAGCATACAGAGTTCAGTAAAAATACAGCAGTTGCTTAAGGGAAGAAAATGGACTAAGATTATGAAAACACTGATCCACCAAAGCAGAAAGCCTCCATTTTCAAACAGCTGATAACTAAGAATGTAATAAGACTCCAACTTCTCATGTATTTCAATCACTGCCTATGAGTACTCATCCATTCAAAGACTACCAACTATAATATAATTATTAGTCATTAAGAACAAGTTAGACCACTAACAAACCAGATAAACAACTTAGTTCATTACCAAACTGGGACAGATTCAAATTTGTGCCACAGGCAAAAGGATCTATACTCAAATCCCTTAAACTATTAAACCTGATTTAAAAAAAAAAAAAAAAAAGTTTAAGTCTTGTGACCAGGGGGGAAAAAAAAAGAAATAGCAAAAATGTTTAAAAATTAAGATGATGTTTACCTTTATTTTTGTGTTCTTATCCATGAATAAGTCTCTACAATTGTACTATACTAAAAGAAAAAAAAAGTTCTTACTTTAGACAGGAGATTATTGAGTTCATGGGGATGAAGCTTCACCACTTCTCCAAGTTGCTGTGCAGCAGCTTTTCTTGTTACAGGAGTAGTGCCAGTATCCAGTAAAATAAAAAGGCGATCGAGCCTGAAATAACAAAAATACAATGGTTATTCTGAAATGTTTTTCCTCATATGTACAAGTTTGAGTCAACAAATGTACTGAGCAGATGCTATGAAGGAAGACCTACACTAACATAGATAAGCCCCGGAAGGACATTATGGTGAAATAAGTCAGACACAGAAAGATAAATGCTGCATATCCTCACTCATAAATGTGAGCTAAAAAGTTGATCTCATAGAAGTTAAGAGTAAAATAGTGGTTACTAGCAGCTGGGAAGGGTAGGAGAGGCAAGGGGGATGGAAGAGGCTGGTTAACCTATTTACAGCTAAATAGAAGGAACAAGTTCTAGTGTTCTGTGGTACCGTAGAGTGACTAAACAACAATTTACTGTATATTTTCAAGTAGCTAGAAGAGAGGCACTTTGAATGTTCCCAACACAAAGAAACAATAAACGTTTAAGGTGAATAATATGCTAATATGATCATTACATTGTATATGTATATGAAAATATCACACTGTACCCCCATAATAATGTACAATTATGTGTCAATTAAAATAATACTTTTTCTAAAATTGCAAAAATAAAAATAAAAGTGACCTATGCTAGGATTACAAGAGATGCCTAATCTCTTACGGAACTTGCTACTGGGGTTGAGGGGAGCAGGTAAGGCAAGTACAATACGATACATGGCAGAAAAAGAAATACAAAGCGCTTTGAGGATTGTGAAAGAAAGGAGCAAATACTATATCCCCAACTATGTAATACTGAAAAGGTTTCATAAAATAAATGGCGTATGAGATGGATCTTACTGGTAGAAAAGAATTTTAACACTGGTGGAGATTAGGTGGTGAAAGGGAAAGGGGAAGAAATACCTGGAAGATGGAAAACAAGAACACAACAATAAGAGAAGGGAGAGTATATTTAGGGAAATGAATAACACAGTTTGGTTGTAATTCAGGGTATACTTAAGAGAAGAGTGGGAGATACAGCTACAGAAGTAGCTGGAATCCTACTGTGGAGACCTTTTAATGAACTCGCAACCATGAAGGTCTTGGGTCAAGAAAGTAATGGAACTGAAACTACGCTTTAGGAAGATTAATCTGGCAGCAGTGTGATACATGAAGTAAAATGGAAGGAAACTCAGCAGGGCATGGCCATGTTTGTAATCTCAGCACTTTGGGAGGTCAAGGTGGGAGGATCACTTGAGGTCAGGAGTTCGAGACCAGACTGGCCATCATGGTTAAACCCCATCTCTACTAAAAATACAAAAATTAGCCAGGTGTAGTGGCATCCACCTGCAGTCCCAGCTACTAGGGAGGCTGAGGCAGGAGAATTGCTTCTGAAACCAGGAGGCAGAGGTTGTAGTGAGCTAAGATCACGCCACTGCACTCCAGCATGGGTGACAAAGTGAGACTGTGTCTAAACACTTGCCTTTACCCATTCATTCGCTGGCTTTTGCTATAGGATTGGTGAACAGTCAGACAGTAGGACCAAAAAAAGGGAAAAAATGGTTTCTTGACCTACTTTTGTCTTGCTACCATCCCCCTTCTACTCTCATTCAATTATCCTTTCTCCAATACCTCAAATCAGTGTTACTAATCCATTCTCTTCTTCCAATATGCAGAGCTCTCTCCCTACTGAGAAAATAAACTGCTTGATCTCCACTCTCTAGAACACTTTCTTTTTACTGTCAAGCATCTTGAACAAGTGTTTAAAACAACATTTCCTCATCACATACAATTTAATCCATATAAATCAAGGTTCCATCTTTCTACACTGAAATATCACACCTGAAGGTCACCAATGAACTCTTAGGCTCCAAATCCAATAGTTTTTTAAAAGGCCAACTTTTCTTGACTCTTCCTTGACAGCTGTGACCAGCAAGCACCCCATTCTTACACTACTTTCCTTCCTAGGTTGCACATTATATTACCCTGTTCTCCAAACTCTTCTTTCCTTAGTTCTCCTATTCTTAATACTCTTAATATGAATATTGGGAGAATATTCATGTTCAATCCTTGGCTGCTCAATTCTCATCAGTTTCTCCCTGAGGAAACTGTATACTGTTATTTGTTTAAATTATATCCAGAACAAATATTCCCCAAGTCCAGGCCCTCTGAGAGTGCCAGTTTCACACTCCCAACTGCCTTGTCATCCTGTTGCCAGATTAAGTTCCTAAAGCACCCTTTGAATAAACCACTACCTTACTCTAAAACTTTCAATGGCTCACACTTACCTACCAGACAGTAATCCAAAACAAAAAGTATCTCACAAATATGGGTATTCTTGGTTTCCACAATTTTGCCTATACTGTTTCCTCCACTTAGAATGTCTCTCACACTCCTCCAAGCTAGGGTTACAGTGGCTCACCCCTCTTTGAGGGGATGGTTTCCTGGCCAGTTTCTGCCAGATCCCCAGAATGGTCACTGGTTGTGGTTGCAGTGAGTAGGTACTCTGCCTCACTGCAACAGCAGGCAGCTGTGCAGATATAACGCCCCCAGGTGTGAGACAGGAACTGCTGGTGGGAAGCACAGCTGAGAATATGGGTATATCACCTGGAATTTAACCAGATACATGATTAGAGGTGATCTTCAGGTGTGCCTGAGCTTGCTTCTCTAACAAGAGAATAAAATGTGCTACGGCAAACAAACAAAATATTTTCTCTTCATTCAACTTTTCAGCTAGCTCCCATCCATCAAGATTCAGCTGAAGTCCCTCACTTTCTTGAAACCATTTCAAACTACTATGCAACAGAGATTACTTCCTTTTCTGAAACCCACATGAATTCTCAACTTGAACAGCTACTTAAGTATTTATCATACTATTTGGTGGCATCTCTCACATTAGTCACATGATGTCTAATTTTCCTCATTAGGCTTCATCTCCTTCAATCATTCTTTTTGTCTTGCACAACACTTTGCACAGTATTCAAATATTTGTTATGTAGTTGATATTTACTGTAACTAAAACTATACTTACGGAAAAGTTCAAGTTTCTTAGGGACAAGTTTAAGAACCAACTTTAAGGAAAGAAAAAGTATTTTGTTTTTTTTTTTTCCCCTGCTTCCTTTGAGAAACATCCTTAATCTGTGATAGTAGTATTACACAAAAAATGGGTTGGTAAGGTAATGTTTCAGTAAATGAAAAGATCAGCACAGCAGTACTTCAGCATTCTGAATAAGGCAGTTATGCCTGTCCCAAATAGCAAGCTGAAAATGCCATGCAATAGGCACTGTATTCCTTCCATAATTTCTATCCCTCCTAAACTTTCCTTTGGTCCCCTGCTACCCAGCTTCACTTAGAACTCGTGCTCAAAGACCTTATAGACTCCTCTCTAACCTAATGCTAATCCTGTCCCACAGACACACAGTTCCCAGTTCCTCTTGCCTCTCCTTTTTGCAGAGCCTTTTATCCCAATGCCATGTCATGTCACCTCTGCTCTCCCACCAGCCAAATGCCCTAAGGTAGCAGATCAGCTCATTCTCTCATCGATTCCATGCCCGTTTATCCTTACTTCTTCCACTTTGGATGGTAACCAAAATTGCCTCCCTGAATAGAGGAATGGGGACACAAGAATGCTTCTTTGATTCTCTTGACTTAAAGCCCCTTTCATAGCCCCATTCCTCTCTCCAGGACAGCAGATTGGACACCACATAAAAGGAAGAACAAAAGAACAAAGAGATGAGCAGACAAAGATCTGACAAGAGGGCAGTCTAACCTGTTATCTCAGGGTAGCCAGCTATGAGGCAAGCAGGGTAAGCATCAGGGCCAGGCCACAATGGAAAAGGCTGGTACAGTGAACTGGTGGGGAAAGGAAAAGAACGTGAGACAGAGTCAGTATTATGTTGGAGGGTAGACAGGGCCCTTGGTGAGGGAAAGGTCTGAAGGAAGCTAGACGGTCAGAAAAGAAGGGAAAGTTAAAAGGAGGGCTGATTGAGGGAACACTGTACTTACTCCCATACTACTTTTGGCTAAAACTTCTGTTGCAGAACAGCTAGCAGGAAAAAGTAACATTCTTCATTCTCTGAAGGACAGACAGACAGACAAAGAGGAGACACAGGTAACAGATGTCAAGCTGCATGGAAGGTACCAAAGACTATAGAAGGATAAGTAAAACATAAGAAAATTATATTTTATAATATCCACTGGTTATAAATTTATTGAGAATAAGAAATCTGGCCCATTTTCAATCTGGATGTCAACTCCAAGAAATAACTAAACAAGACATGATTCATGTAACCTGTGATTTCAGGCAAATGTTCTAAAGACTGCCTAGAAAAAGGAAAGAGTACATAGAATTTTGTAGAGGTTATGCTAGCAGTTGCAATCCAACCTCTCTCCTCTCCAGATGTTTGCATTATGTTAATTCATAACAGTAAAGCCATAAAAATAAACAGAAATGTCACGCATTTTAAACAATAAAACGTGTCCTAGATTACTACTTCATAGTTAATAAACAAACACATGCTGTATTTCCACTCTAAAACATCCCGGGGGGTGGGGCACAAAAAGCCTCACTGATATTTTCGAAATAACGTTAAACTCTCCGATAAATTAGGGAAGGTCAACTGACAGAATATCTCACAAAGATAGCTTTGTGGCCTTAACTAAAAAAGCATGATCAGTCAAGAGTATCCATTTAGTTACACATATTTTATATGTAGCAAAAGTACAGTAAAATTTTAAGTATAGATGATTTGAATGTTTACTTTTCTGTTACTTAGGAAATAAGGAAAGATCATGACCATCACTTAGTACAGTGCACAGTGTGTACTTAATATGTGGAACTTAGCACAGTGTACATATTATCATTAATATGTTTCAAAAGAAACAACTTCCAACAAATTCTCTAGATTAGTGTTTTTAAACATATACTTTCTAGGTCATGTTGTGGATAATTTGAAACTATGTTAATGTTATGTTGTTTTAAACATAAAGATATCATACAGAACACTAAGAATCAATATGAAGGTGTGAAACCATACCAAAGCCAGGTGTAAGGGCAGGTGTATGCTAGATAAGTT